CTAACACCGTTGTCATTATCCAAGCTAAACTACTGCTTGCCTCAGCTGACACGTTCCTCTGCATCAACTCTGACACACTGCTGGAGGGTGGCAGCGTAAGTCCCCCAACCCTCCACCCAAAATATGCCACTTTGGCATAAAGATTATTTTGAGCTAGAGGCATTAAAATAGCGGGTGTAAGAGGAGTACTCTGACCCTTCCCTTTTTCTTCTTGAAAAACAGGGGATAAGCCTCCCCTGTAAAAGATCTTATCTATATCAGGAAGAAAGAACATTCTGAACATCAAAGATAGGATGAGATGATGTTGAGGCCAAGGGGATCTGTACCAAAAAAAGCTTGTTAAACTAACCCTCACCTTCCTAGTCACTTTGTCATTTTGCCAGCCAACCTAGCCCTAGTGCCATTGCTTTTTCGCATTTCCACAGTGTGTGACTCTTTGCCTAATTCAGTATATATGTGTTCAACTCTAACTGCATATTCAGGCCTTCCTTTACTTATCAGGGCTTTCGTGTGATGTAAAACTTATATTAAATAATTTGTGTGCTTTCCTCCTGTTAATCTGCCCACTTCTCAGACCCAGCCGAAAAATCCTAAGAGGGCAGAGGTAAAATTTTGCCTTTCCTGAAAGGATCATTGTTTCTTCACTTTGTGACCAGGGTGATCAAATACACAGATACACACACAGCCACTAATGTGATTACTACATAAGTTAAATGTTTAAAACCTCAGGGTCTTCTGTTAAGCTTTATGGTGAATTATATATCATTTACCTTGACCAGTAAGGTTATGAGTGGTCCAGTGCCTTCCTGCCTTCTTCAATTTCACCCTGTATTCCACCCATTCCTCCCCCTCTTCCTGTCCACTGCTGACTTCTTTTCAGTTGTTAAACACACCAATTTATATCCTGATTAAAACATTTTGCACTGGTTCTTTAATCTTTTTTAAATGCCCTTTATTATCCCTAGTCCCACTTAAATAACTCTAGCTCATCTTGATGTAATAATATTTAAAATTTATTCCCATACCTTTTATTAAAAGGAGGATAACTATTAAATACACAAAACCAGACTCTCTAGGGAGTATTTCATCAAGAATTACTTGTAAGAAATTATACATAGTTCATTTTTTAGGATAAAAGAGTCTTAACTTGTTTTAAAAAATGGCACCAGATAGGAGATTACAGATAAAAGACACTCACATATTTATGAGTAGTTGAAATTGACTACTGGTCAGCTAAAAGTAGTTACACTGCTTTCCATATTCCAGAACGGGAAAACAGAAGCACAGCTATGAAGTTGTGAAGTAAATAATCAAATATTCACCTTTGGACAGCTGAGATGGTGCATGTACTGTAACAAATGGGTCGAGACTCCTGGAAACCAGTTCCTGAGATTATTTTTGACATTAAGAATGGGGCTATTCAAAGATATGGAGGACTTACAGGACCCTAGCTCCCTTGAAACCTCTGAAATTCTCCCCATGCTTCTCCTTTACTGGGAAACAGTGCCGCCATTGTGTGTGTGTGTGTGTGTGTGTGTGTGTGTGTGTGTGTGTGTGTGTGTAGGAGGATGTAAGAGTCTTACCTCACCCATCACTGCCTCTGAAAGTTGAAGTCGATTTACAACAAAGCCTAGAGAGTAGAATATAAAATCAGAACAGAAAGTTCAACATTTCAAAAAGAATTGGTCATCAAAAATTCATGGCATTGAAAATGTATAGGAAATGTGATAGGATTTTATTTTATTGGTACTTGTCCAAGGAAGATAGAACACAAATTTGGATTGGATGCTGTTCAATGCTGTTTTTTAGCCCCTGCAACGTAACATAGGTAGGCAGTAGGCTGTGTCCTTGAGAGACAACTGGTTTGGGAAAGGCAGGTCTGAACCCAGCACTCCTCCATGCTAAATGTCACTGAAACACTATACTCCTCAGCTTAATGCAGAGGGGAATAGTGACAGCATGAAATAGGAATGTAACCACTGTCTCCGTGTCTTATGCCAGAGCCTTAAATTCTCTTGTCTTTTCCATGCCATTAGTGAAACAGTGGAATATTTAAAAAATATTTTACTAGCTCTCTTCTCCAGGCTGAAGACACTAACAGAGTAAAAGGCTACAACTAAAATGTGTCATCAAGTTCAGTGGCAATGGCACAGTCTGACCTGACTGAACCAGGTGGGGTATTTAACCACCAGCAAAATGTGGTCATAGTGGGGATAAAATGTAGCAGCATGTCCGCTGCTGAATTGGCTCCCATCTTATTCCAGGCAGTTCCATGTTGGTCAGGGGCCAAGTGTCGTCTTAATGTTTTCATGTTCACCCTTCGTATCTAAACCCCTGCTCTCTGTTGCAAAGGGATTGACAAGGGTCCAGGTCTGTTGGATGGTAAGTTGTCTTCTGTGATTAATTTAGCAACAGATGTCTATATGAGGATGGTAGCAGTTGAGCCACTGCTATTTCACTTCCTGATTTGGACTATAAAATGCTCTTGATCCTTTTCTTGTCAGAACTCTAATCTATTCATTTATTTGTTTTATTTTCTCTTCTTTTTGATTTTATATGCATACAATTTGGTTAATCTTAACCAGTGGTTCGTAACACACAGGTATTGCTTGTCAATGAATCGTTATTTATTTATTTAAAAATGTAGTAGGCACTTGTAAAACATCTCCTCCTCAATGTTAGGCAAGATAGACCTTGATAATATTTCAATGTATAGCTGTGTAGTTCTCTCTCATTCTATCTCCTGCCACGCTCCAGCCTTCTAAAAACCCTAAACTTGGATCATTATTATTCCCTGCCAGTAATGTGTTGGTAAAGGTTTGACAACTAACTCTCTGGAGGAAAAACACAAACCATAATGTGTTGTGTTTGCTGATTTCTGCCATGTAAATACCCTCACTATGGCCAGTTCCAAGCTAACAACATGATGTTACTAACATTGGAATTGGGAAAAATGCGTAGAGTCAGCTCCCATGAGCTGATAAGGTTGGCTCCAGCATGCAACTGGTCTTTGCTTTCCTTTCACATAATTTGATCTAATATATTTTAGTCCTGAAAATTATTTTCTTGACTTATTTGTTTTTAGCCTATGCTTTTCACAATCTCATTAGACTTACTTAGTTTTTACATTTGCTATTATATTGCTAAGATTCACCTATAACCTTGCTCTTCACTACAGTTCATTCACGTTGACTCATACGAATATGCCAGTTTATTTATTCACTCCTATCCGTGCATATGTGGCTTGGTGCCATGTTTTTCTACTGTTTGATGCTGTTAAGAACACTTTTATATTTACGTCTTCTGATATGTGTATGCAAGAGCTTCTCCTGAGGTAAACCTAGGAGTGGAATTGCTGAGTCATGTATGCAAGAGCTTCTGATATAAACCTAGCAGTGGAATTGCTGAGTCATGGGATATAGGAATCTTCAGCTATGAGATAATGCTGAACCGTTTCCAAATGGTTTGTAGTACGTATGCTCCCATCAGTAATTTATAAGCAATCCTATGAATCCATATCCCTCACTTTTTATATTTCTAACCTTTTTATATTTTGCTAATCAAGTGGATATAAAACTATGTATCACTCTGTCTTGCTTCATAGTATCTTGATCATCAGTGAAGTAAAATATCTCTTTATGTGTTTATTGGTCATACATGTTTCTTCTTTTAAACATATGATCATATGTTTTGCTCATTTTCTATTGGCTCATACAGATTCGTGATCAATGTAAATTTTTGGTTTCCCCCAGGAAAGGATTTTCACTGTTCCACTTACTGTCTTCTAACTACTAGCAGAACTTTCCAGCTCGGTAGACAAGCCATGTTACCTGAGGTCTTCCTTCTAGGCTCCCTCTGCCTCCTCTTCCCCTTGAAACCTTTCCCAGGAGCCAGCTCACCAGCACCTTCCCTAGGGATACGTTCCACATGGTGTGTACCTAGGATCAGAGGGTGCGCCCCTCCCTTGTACCCAGACTTACCCTGTTCATTCAGCAGCTGAAGCACCATGGAGAACATGATGGTATTGAAAATTCACAGGAAATGTGATTGGATTTTATTTTGGTGGTCCTGGTCCAAAAAGGACAGAACACGAATTTGGAGTGGATGCTATTCAGTGCTGTTGCCAGCCTCCCCTAGGGTAACGTATTCATGCAGAACTCTCTCTGCTTGGCCGCCTCGTGGTTCTGTTTGTCTTGAGGGTCCAGCATGGTGTCAAGAAAGAGAGCCAATTGCTGAAGTTTATTATTAGGAGATGCACAGTGATTCTACAGCTGTCTTCATATCTACCTATAGGATTATGTGTAGATCTATTCAAGAACATTGAGTAACATGACAGAATCAGGGCAAAATTCCAGGTTTTATCATTTTCAAGGAACTTTCTGAGTCCAGTGACCACTTTAGGCCCAACTATACCTCCTCCACACTCCACACTCACATTGTTTCTTTTCTTTTTCTCCTTCTCTCTCTCTCTCTCTCTCTCTGCCCCCCCCCCACCCGCCCACACACATACACACCCCACCCCACACACCCACATGTCTCAGTCAGGAAAGCTGTGGTTTTCTATTCTCCATGCCTCCTTTCTCAGCACTCAGCGGGCCTGTCGGGGAGGAGGGCTGCTGCAGGGGTTCTTGCCACACTCTCTCATCCCCTCCTGGCGCTGTGTCTCTACCACTGCAGAGGTAGAAGCTGCTGTCTTCGGGTTGGGCACTGGCCACTGTCAGAGATGAGGAGGTCAGGTCTGGATGGCTGATGGGAAAGTGGTCCTCTGAGAAGCCTTGCTCATACGTGGCCTTGGAGCCCTCATTGGAAGTTGCCATCAGCATAAGGCCCTCTTTCTGGGACTGACGATACCAAAACATAGTTGTGGCCTGAAAGTCCAGGGCACGGCACTCGATCTTCACAGAGGTTCCACTCTTACAGATAACCCTGCTCGGATGTTGGGAGACGACAGCGCCAAGCCCGGAGCCTGCTGGAACAGGAGCCAGACAGAGGAGAGGCCAGTGGGACGCGAGTCAGACAGGATGTCAGGCGGAGCTCAGCCTGTGCTCACTCCCTCCCCGTGCGCCCAGCTCCTGGAGAATCCTGTTTGTTTTGTGCAATCTTCCTGTCATCGTTCCAGAGCCATAATCGCCCATCTCCTCTGACCGGTGGCTCTCACCGTACCCTTCACACCTCTAGAGAGCAGGCTCGCTGGCTCTCCCTTTGGTGAGCACAGGCAATCCACATTGCATGGCCACCACTTTACCATGCCAACACACGCAAATGCCCACCCAAGCTCCCAGGTAGGAGGAGGCTCATACCTGGCCCCAGAAGCAGCAGAAGCATCAGCATCTTCTGTGATGGCCTCATACCACCTTCTGTGGGGAGAGTTGTGACCACTGTCTCCATTCACCAGCGGGCTAATCACAGAATCCCAAGGATGCTCTGGTCTGCCCCCTGGTGGCGATCGTTGCCCATGACTGATGTTACATCCATCTCTGCCTGTCAAAGAACCACGCGTTGCCTAAAGTGGCCTAAGGGTTTCCCAATTCAACTTCTAAATGTATTGAAAATACACTGAGACATAGAACATTGCAATGACTTCAGTGAGTTTCTTATAAGGAAAGGAGTTTATGTTTGGGCAGTGAATCGCGTTGTAGTCTGTTTGTTGCTTCTGTTTCATATCCTCTAAGTAATCACACCAAGACAACTCATGGTTGTTAATCACTAGACCTACAGGGTTGACCCTCTCTTCTAAGTGCCAGAACTGGACTTATGGAGCCTCCTGGGCGTTTCTACACACATGTCCAATGAAGATCCACTACAACCAGGAACTCAATTTTGTTCAATAACTTTTACTCCATTCATTCCTCCAAATTTTCTTCCATTGTCACATTCCGGTGGAGGAGGGAGTGTTGATTTTTTTTCCTGGTATTATCTCATCACTCTTTCCTTTCATAATTCCTTTAGCCTGCCTCCCTCTTTTGGTGCTTGCCCATCTGGTGAAATCCTACTTGCCCATCTGGTGAAATTTGAATAATAAGTTTCATTTCAAAATTTACTTTCTCTTTGACGCCCTTCCTGATGTCACCAGACAGAATTGGCCGTGGTATTTCCTATACTCCACTAATGTCTCTGATTAAAGCACACATCATGTGAAATTATGATTACAGGGTTTGTCTTCTACGTCTCTCTTACCACAGGCTTTTATTATCTTCCTGAAGGAAGGAAATTTTTTCTATTCATTTTTATTATCTAGCATTCAGTAAAATAGGGAAAAGCTTGGGGTTGTGAGATTAACTTTTCTCTTCTTTCTTCTCTGTGTCTCTCTGACTCTCTCTCTCTCATATATATCTTATATACAACATATAACAGATGTATATATAAGATATATATGCATATATCATATATAACATATAACATGTACATACATATGTACATATATGTATGTATCTCTATAAATGTATGTATCTTATATACAACATACCACATATATATAACATATCTATATCCATATCCTATATGGCAGGAAACTTCACTAAACCACTAAGTGGGCTTAAAAAACTCTCTCTCTATATAAAACACACTATAAACTATAATAATATATATATTTATAACTATATAAAGCTATAAAGCAGCTGGGCATGGTGACTCACACCTGTAATTCCAGCACATTGGGAAGCCAAGGTGGGTGGATCACCTAAGTCAGGAGTTCGAGACCAGCCTGGCCAACATGGTGAAACCCTGTCTCTACTAAAATACAAAAATTAACCAGGTGTGGTGGCATGCACTTATAATCCCAGCTACTTGGGAGGATGAGGCAGGAGAATTACTTGAACCCGTGAGGCAGAGATTGCAGGAGCCAAGATTGCACCACTGTACTCCAGTCTGGCGACAGGGTGAGACTCTATCTCCAAAAAGTAAATAAATAAACTATAGTTTATAAAATTATACACACACACACACACACACACACACACACACAACTAGTTTAAAAACTATGTATATAAAACTATAGTTTAAAAAAACTATATGAAACTATATATAGATATAGATATAGATACAGATATAGTGGCTGAGTGAAGTTTTCTGTCATCACACAGTCTGTTGATGGCAGCAGCTGCACTGCATGCCTGGCTGAGGTGCAGGAAAGAGGGCAGGCAGGCAGGGACGGTGCAGAGGAGCCCTGCCACCTGGTCGGGGAATCAGGACTGGGCACATTTATGCAGAGAGAGGCAGCATCTGTGCTTCACTGTGTCAATACTACTGGCACAGAGATAGAAAGCTGTGTGGTTCCATTGGGCCGATGTCACAGTGAGAGGGAAAGACTCCTTTTTCTCCCGAGAGACGATGTAGCCTTCAGTTATGTCTCCTTTCTCAAAGTCATCTACTATCCATGAGTAGTAGATCAATCTCAGCCCTTGCCCCGGGTCCTGTCGGTACCAGTACATGGCATCGTGGTTCAAATTCTGTTCACAACCTAGGGTCACAGCCTGTCCTTCCTTTCTGAACAGATACTTTGGGGATTGAGTGATTCCACCAACCACGATTTCTGGAAAAGAAAGACATGCAGAAAGTACAGCCCAGGGAGGCACCCGATGCTGCTGTCCCTTGGGAAAGCCTTAGCTCTGGATCTTGCAGCATTCCAGATAAGGATTTTCTCCCTGAACCCAGGACTCACTTGCTCCGAGGAGACAAAGGACCACACAGCAGAGCACTTGGTTGCTCATAGTGGAAAGGGGCCCTTCTTGCTGGTTGCTCATAGTGGAAAGGGGCCCTCCTTGTAGCTCCGAGCGCTTATTGGAAGAGAATGAGAAAAGAGGCTTGGCTCCGGGGCTTCCCCAGGCCTGATGTGCAGAGTTTGTCAGAGGCTGGAATGAAGAGGGGAGAGATCCCTGGAGATATTCAAGACAGGCTTTCTAATTTTGCAGATGAGGTGACAGGACAGAGAACAGAGTCATTCCCACCTCCCATAACTCTACATCGCATCTGTGCTGAGGGGGCTGGCACCTCACGTTTCCGGGTCAGAGTTTCACTCCAATTGGCTCATTCGTTTTTACCTTTCCAGGGACCATATGTTTGAGTTACTTTAGGAGCACTGTAGACACTCTGATTATAGAAGAATGTGAAACTCATTCATTTTTCCTTTTTTAAAAATTGATACGTAATATTTGTATCTATTTGTGGGTGCCTGTGGTATTTTGTTACATGCGTAGAATGTGTGATGATGAAGTCAGGGTATTTAGGAAGTCCATCCCCTGGAGTTCTTATCATTCTTTGTGCCATCAGCTCTCTCAGAGAGAGTGACTCCTGGGGTCTGGCCAGCGGTGTCTGTGGCCACTGTGACAGCCTACTGCTTAGCCGTCCTGCTGCACAGAGCCCAGCGCTGCTGTTCTAGGACCCTCACGTGATCACACCGAGACCTGGCCTCCTTTGACCGCCTTCTGACTGGCTGGTCTCACTCATGTCCTTCTCATTCTCCTACATGTTTCTTTGCCTTTGTTCAATGTCCTAACAAAATTTTCATTTGAGTTTTTTCTCCCTTGGTCATCTTTTAATTTATTTTTCATTAATGGGATAATTTTATCTTTTTCTTTCATGTCCTTCCTGAGTTCTTTTTTTATGTCTTCCCAAGTTGGCTATTTCTAGTCTGAGTTTTTGAACTTCTGGTCTGGTTATGGTCACATCATATCCTCAGCTGCTTACCTGAATGTATTTAATTCTGTTTGGAGTGTAGGCTTATGTTTTCTTCTGACTCATGATTGCTTTTGAGGTGAGGAACAGGGGACAGAGGTGAGATGTTTTCCTTTGTTGTATGGGGTTTCCTTTCGTCTTGCTCATTTTTGTGTTATTGGGGTGTTTTACAAAATTCCTAGTTTCATGTTCCTTTTGCCATCATTCTAGCAAAGTCCACACTCCTTAGTGAGCTTTTTGTCTTCGTAGCGGGGCTGGTTGTGTCCTCTTAATTTGTGATTTCCTTTGTTTTGTGGAACTCTCAGTGTCCCCCTTTCCTTCTTATTCCTCACTATTGAATTGTCAGAAGACCCTCTTTTCTCCTCTTTGCCTTTTTCCCCTCCCTGTAAAGCAGTACCTTTGGAAGCCTGTTCCTCTAAATTACACATCTGGTGCTTTAAATGGCATGGAGTTTGGCATCCCTCTTCCTTGCAGCCTTGCTGGGGTCTTAGGGTTGGTCTTTTTCAAGAGATCTCTCTGGATTTTTCTCAGGCTCCCCAGCCAGTGTCCCTCTTCTGTCTTCCTGGAAGATTTTCTGGGCATTTCTCCTTTTGGGTGAAGTGAGGGAGGGGCGGGAGTATATTAAATGATTTTAGAAAATCAAAGGGCGAAAACTGCAGTGGAGTCGCGTGGTTTATACTCCATGTTGGTGAATCTGAACTTAGCCTGCATATACATTTGAAATGACTTTGTCTTTGTCTGCCTTTTGATTTTAGGAAATTGTTTCATCATAGCAAATTATAACACATCTTTTTCTGTAGGCGGCCTGTATCTGTGGAGTGATGATGATAAAAACAAACATTGACTGAGTCAAAAAGTTGAGGTGACATATTTCTAATGAGCAATATCTGTGGGCCAGACCTTTTCCCTAAATTCTAGACAAATTTATCCAACTCGATCTCCATCATCTCTCAGATGTTCTATAATTTTCTAGCAGAAGTTCTTGAACCTAGCATCTGTACAAACCTGCACAGGCACTCGGCAAGGAACAGAATGAGGATTATGCCTGAAAGAATGCTAAGCAGCATGGTGTGGGTTAAAAATCATAACCCTTTGAGCCAAATGCTCTCTGTTACCTTCTAGGTTTCTTTCTCCCCTCCCTCCCCTCCCCTCCCCTCCCTCCCCTCCCTCCCCTCCCCTCCCCTCCCCTCCCCTCCCCTCCCCTCCCTCCCCTCCCCTCCCCTCCCCTCCCTCCCCTCCCTCCCCTCCCCTCCCTCCCCCCCTCCCCTCCCCTCCCCTCCTTTTCCTTTCCCTTCCCTTTTTCCTTCTCTTTCTCTTTTTCTTCCCCCCCCGTCTCTCTGCTAAGTGTCTTGAAACTGACAAATTAAGTCAATGTTGAAACTGACAAATTATGTCTAGCTCTTAAAAATCTTCATTCTTTGGATGACAGAGTCTTAGTTTCTGAGCATATATGCTGGGATGTTTCATGATATTCCTACAATCCTCCCCTATTTCCGTCCTCAACTTGCAGAATGCCTTAGAGCTGACCTGTTCTCTGTACAGTTAACGCGTTTCCTTTCCCAGCCCGCCGCTGTCCCCATCCCCAAGGCAGTTCCGGAAGATGTTTGTGCACTGAGAGGATGTGGCTCTGCATTGATGTGGGTACTGAGCTGGCACAGAAATAAGCTGCTGAGTCTCCACGCTCTGCCTGCTGGATCCTTAGGACGCTGGGCCCCTCTTTGGGGAATTCAGCAGAAAACTGTTCCTTTGGCATTCCTGACTCATCTATGGTGCTTTCTCTCTGGAGATAAATCATGAATTTCAGACCTTCCCCCAGGAGTTGCTGATACCAATAAACATGATTGTGTCCTTTCACTGGGCTGCATCTCAGTCTTGCCTCCTGTCCCTTCCTCCTGACCAGGTGTCTTGGGTTCTGTGTGACGCCGGCATTTGAGAGACCTCAGAGGAGAAGAGACCGCATGAGACAGAGTTGTAATGGCAGAAGAATGAATGTCTTACAGCGAAGGAGCTTTTCCTGCATTCATTTAAAAACTCACATGAATTTTACTTTTTACTCCACAATGTAATTATTTGTTTTCATATACAAAAATCCTTAGTCAACACAGAGGTCCAGGGTATATTTGAGACTCCGCTGTAGAGCCCAAAATGAAGCCCAGCCATGGTGATCCTTTAGCTCAAAACTCACCTGTCCCCAGAAGACAGATGAGTGCACAGCAGCGGACTGTGGTGTCCATGGCAGAGCTGGGCATGGAGGGAGCCTGCAGGCGGGGCTGGCAAGGCACTCACTGCAGCACATAAGGGAACCAGACCTCACAGCTGCCTCCTACAAGACGCGTCTTCCTGTGAGGTCACCACTTCCAGTGGGTCCTATAGTTTCTAGTAAGAAATCTCGGATGTCAGTTAAATGGTAGATCTTTTGTTCTTACCTGTACATATAACCTAGGCTTCGTGTGTGTTTGTGGGGAGAGTGTTTTGAAGTGAGCACCTCTATATTATTGGTTTTCCTTATTCACTTTTTTTTAAAGACTATATCTAGCTCTGTTGTCCAGGCTGAAGTGCAGCAGTGCAATCGTACCTTATTACAGCCTCGATCTCCTCGGATCGGTCAAGCGAGTCCTTCATCTCAGCCTCCCAAGTAGCTAGGACTACAGGCCACCAATCCCAGATAATTCATTCATTTTTTTTTTTCATAAATGGAATCTTGTTGTTTTGTCCAGGCTGGTCCCAAATTCCTGGGCTCAAGGAATCCTCCCACGTCAGCCTCCCAAGTAGCTGATCTCACCACTATTCTTATTTTTTGTTTATTTTCCTTTTGTTGGCTCATATCATTTTTCTGTTTTCTGGCTGTTGCTGAGTGGAGGTATTGACAAGAGTTGATATCTAGATGCATACAGTAAGAGACAGGGAGGTGTGCACCAACATTGCTGGAGGGAAAATTCGGGACAGAAAATGATTTGGCATTGTCTCAGCTTGTTTTTCGCTCCCACACCTCAGCTAAGGAGTGGTTTCAAGCATTTTGAGGGAACTTTAAGAGTCACCTTTGCTTATTCCACTTGAATTTATGATATAAGTAATTCAAAGAACAAACCCTAGAAAAACTTCTCCCGCTGACCTCACGTCTCCTTGTTCTAAATACCTATCACTCTCTGTAGTCATACTTGGGATGCCTGTGTTTGAGAGATCTTCCTTCCTCACGTTTTTTTCTGTCCTTTCTTATCCTGTAGCATTGAATAAAAAGTATGTGAAAGTCTACTTTGTTACCGGCATAAGGAGAGGAAGATCTCACCCCATCGGATAGGCACCCTAGAGGAGTTAGGTGTGTGACTTGTACCTCTAGGACCCTCCACACTTAGATTAATAAATAAGATCATGTTAACATTTAGTGTCCAAATAACAGTGACTCATGGCTTTACTCTTATCAGGATCCTAGAGATCATGTTAACATTTAGTGTCCAAATAACAGTGACTCATGGCTTTACTCTTATCAGGATCCTAGGGATCCCCAAATATACTCCTTTTTTCTGATGTTGGAGCTGTCATTTTGAATATTTTCATGTTGAGGTATCTTTTTCCTTAAAAATGAAATATAATTTATATGCCATAACATCCACACTTTCAAAGCAAATAATTCAGTGGTTTTTAGTATATTCACAAAGCTGCAACCATCACCATGAATTCCAGAACTTTTTTTTTTTTTGAGATGGAGTGTCACTTTGTCACTAGGCTGAAGTATAGTGCCGCAATCTCGGCTCACTGCAACCTCCGCCTCTGAGGTTCATGCAATTCTTCTGACTCAGCCTCCTGAGCAGTTAGGCCTTCAGGTGCACGCTCCACACCCAGCTAATTTTGTATTTTTAATAGGGATGGGGTTTAGATCCCTTTCCATTTTAAAACTGGGTTGTTTGTTTAGATCCTTCCCCATTTTTAATTTGGGTTATTTGTCTTTTTATTATTGAGTTGTAAGAGTTCTTCATATATCCTGGATACAATTCCCGGTGAGATATATGATTTGCAAGTATATATTCATTTTGGAGTTATCTTTCTTGAAAGT